AACAATAAATTAAGAAGATGAAAACATATAGAAATGGGTTTGTCGGTCTCCAGTGCCTGTGTTTTCCATGAAGCACGACCCTTAATTTAAGGCTCAAGGCCGGCTAGCTTGAAACATGTAGACCAGACAAAAAGGCATTAAAGAAATTCCATACGAGTGAAACACAGAGGAAATTCCATATGAGATGTGACAAAAGCTGGTGGGTTCTGCAGTTTTCCACGCTCGCCATATGGCAATCATGTATGTGATCTCTGAGTCCTTATCACTCATGGCTTCATCGATGGCCATGGAATAATTCTCATTTCATGTACATATCAATTAATTAATTATAATTAAGCCTTGTTAATTAGCAGTGCACTATGGATGACTGGGCTTATGTCATGAATACTAAATATTGCTGCTGTCCTCATGCACAGGTTTTTGGTATGTGTTATGGATCCCTTTGCGATCCTAAGAAATGCTCCATGTGTAATATGATTTAAGAGATATTGAGCTCTTCCTCATCTGAATTTGAAAAACAAAAATTAGGGTTTTGTTAGGGGATTTATATATAATTTTTTGCTAATAAGAAAACATATTCGGGGTGTGTTAAACTTTCCTCATTTTTCTGTAATTAGTCATTATTTCAAATGGGGAATTAGTTGATTTGTGCTCAACATACCTTGATAAGGATACTAATTCAGTGGCTTAACCAGAAAACAATTAATGGTTTATCAAACCATTTGTTTAAAGAGCTTCATGCGTTTTTGTTATAATATACACAATGTTTTTTTTTTTCCCGAAGTTACAGAGAGGAAGAGGAAACTCACACACACACACAAAGTACTATCAAGGCTTAAATGCAGAATCACTTGAGCACATCAAAAATCTTGACGAATCCAACTACCACCAAATTGATGATATAATATATACAATAACGTTTCGATTGAAGAAGTTTTGCTTTGTTAGGATAATTATTAGACAGCACCCTTCCAAGTTTGGATGCAAACCACTCCACTACATGCCATGGTTGGTTGGACTTACAATCTCATAATAACTGTCAATTAGTGGCTGAGCTTGGATCGTTTGGGAGGATTAGTGTACTAGTGAAAAAAATACCAACATGCAATAAAAAAAATGCTAACAATGAATATTAATGAATATAAAAAAGAACAATAAGTGATGATTTAATCGGTCTTGATAAATGACATTGACAAGCAATGATAGATAAATTAAAGTTGGAAGATCAGCCAAAAGAAAAGAACCAAGATTCGCTTCTTCAAATTTTACTACTTGTTTATCTTTAGTTTTCAAACTTATTAATGGTCCATGTCTTCTTTTTTAGATTATAAAATAATAATAATTGGGATGGCCGACGAAATAAATCACCAATTAACTCTTGGTCTAATAATGCTATAGAAAAGAAAAATCTCACTTAAAGTCTAGTGGTATTTGATTGTTGACAAATGTTCTAAACTATACCTCATTTTTTATAATTTCATAAACATAGTTGAGTTTCCTAGGTGTTTTTAGCAATCAGTTTTGTTATTGATATCATTGGACTAGATTGGAGAAAACTATGACGGTAGAAATGAGTTATGTTGTTTTCGATAGTTATTCTCTCCATATCGTTTCAGATTTTCGGATGGCTCAGGTCACTAAGGATGTTGTTACCCATATCTACCATATTGCTATTAGGATCACTCCCTTTACAGTCTCTGTCATTTGTATTAAATCTCAAAGAGACGGGTTAGTGGCCCTCTACTAGTAACACTGATATTGTCCCCAACTTAACCACCTGTTTAGCAGGTTTGTGGTTTTATTACAAAATGCCTCGATGATATTAGTAGTGGAACCATTCATAATACATTGTATTTTATTTAGTCAAGTTTCCGATGTGGGATTTATATTCTTCAACACAGGCCCTCACGTGGGACCACCACACAGTGGGCCACACGTGGAGCCAAGTCCACATCGGAGTTAATCATTTAAGCCTAACATGTAAACACCACATATTGAGTAAGGGTAAAGGCCCAATTCAGGCCCAATCAATCAACCCGCTCTGATACCATATTTAATTTCAGAGAGACGGGCCAGCAACCCTTTACTAGCAACACCGATATTATCTCTAACTTAACCACCTATTTAGTAGGTTTTGGGTTTTATTACAAAATGCCTCGATGATATTAGTAGTGAAACCATTCATAATATATTGTATTTTATTTAGTCAAGTTTCCAATGTGGGACTTATATTCTTCAACAATTTGTACTCTTTCTTCCTACTAATCTAATAAAATTCTATGGCCTTTTATTCACACACACAAAAAAAAACCCTAATGGCGAGGGAAGGTGAAGAATTAGAATAGATCTTTGGATCGACCATACTAATGTATCGAAGAGAAAAAAAAAGCCCAAATAAATGGGCCGCCTTCTGGATCAGCCGGCTTGGGCCGAAGCAATCTTAGTCCAATCCAATTGGAAGTTAAACAAGCATCAAGGACGCACCATGGGAGATCTAGAGCACGCTGTTAATCACCCGTGTGAGAAGGATTGAGGCCCCGCAGGTTCCTTCTAAGTCAAAACTTTCGCGCTCGAAAACGCAACGAACTTACCAATCCCCAAACCCATTTTTCGTCAACAATCCAAAACCCTAACTACATATCCACGCATTTCGAATCCAAAATTCCATCAAGGAAACAGTAGTTGTTTCACATGTGCTGTGAATTCGCATTCTTGGCGAACACGAACAAGTCCCACGGCAAGTAAGAAAACAAAACCCTAATTTTTGGGGAAAATCGAAATGGATGCCAAGGACATTTTGGGCTTGCCCAAAACCGCGCATCCCTTATCCCAGGAGAAGAAATCTCGGCCCCCGAAGGAATCTCAGCGAAAACCAGATGGCATTTCGCGCGAGGTAGGTTTGTGTGTTTAGGGTTTGTCGAATTCCGCTTAAATTTAACTAATTTCGATCATGATGCATGCTTTTTTTCTCCAACTTTGGGTTCACGGTCTTGAATGATTACAATTTGAACTGATAATGTGTTTCGGGCACGTGGAATTGTAGGTGTATGCGCTTATAGGTGGTGTGCCACCTCTTATGCCTGCAGTGGAGACATCGCAGCTGAAAAAACGGCCACCAACCGATGAGAAGGTTATTTAGTTCATCATTAGTCTATGTACTCACATTTTTAGGATCACCAAAAGTGTAAAAGATGGTGGATTTATAGACAGGAGACTATGGAATATATCACTGTGTTAGGTTTAAATTGCTTGTAGGTGTAGCCGATTTCAGATTTTATTTAGTGTTATTTTTATCCTATGTTTCTCTTCCACAATCAATAATGAGAAATCTTGTCATAATGCTTTCAGATCACTTGGCAGTGGCTTCCTTTTACAAGTTCTGCTCGGAAAGATAATTTACAGCTTTACCACTGGGTAAGTTTTTGTACCTTATGTAACGTGCCTCCAAACTCCGCGTTTGTTTGTTTTCAGTTGGGCTCTGAATATGTCTTTTTTTTCTTGTACTTTGCAGGTTAGAGTTGTAAATGGTGTCCCACCTACAGGTGACTACTCCTTTGCCAAGTATAACAAGGTATGCACAAGTATCCTTAACTGTGCTGGGAAAGGATTGTCCTTCTTCTTATGGGCACATGATTTTTCTTTGTTTCGTACTGTAAGTGAATGCTTATTTTAAATTATTATTTGTTTTTGTCAAATTCTTTGCAGTCCGTGGATGTTGTCAAGTACACAGATGAGGAGTATGAGAAGTATTTGACTGATCCTGTAGGTATCAAATCAAGATTTTGTTTGGATAATTATTTAATTTAATTCTGAGAATGTTTTTCATTGTGCGTCATTGCATCATGAATTCAGTGCCTCATTCTCTGTTAATATATTTTGTCTTCATTAGATGTGGACAAGGGAGGAGACGGATCAATTGTTTGACATGTGTCAGCGGTTTGATCTCCGCTTCATTGTGATAGCAGACAGGTTCCCGTCATCTCGTACTGTGGAGGAATTGAAGGATCGCTATTACAGTGGTATTTGTCTTTCTTTTTGCTTGACTAGAATGTTGTTGCTCACTGTTTGGTTCACTTTCATGATGTTCTTATTATGCTTTTCTATGCTTGGATTTTTGACTGATTCACTGTCTGAGGAAGATTATTGAACTTGGCTTATGATGATGATGATTCCCCCACTATTTGTTGTAGTATCTCGAGCTATATTAATTGCTAGAGCGGCATCCCCTGCAGATGTTTCAGGGCATCCTATTGTTAAGGTGTGTAGCTTTATCAAATGAAATTTTAGGTGAATATTCATTCCTTTTGGTTTGCGGAAACAATCTATCTGGGAACAGGGTTATGGCTGTGTATGCCTTGCCCTCTGTAGACCCCGCATTGGCAGCAGACTTGTTGACTGGCCTGCCCTTTTTAGTAGTTCATTGTTTTTCTTAAGTACCAGGATGTTTATGCTACACATGTTACATTAAATTATTGCTCTATTTTGGGTTTTTCTTATTTTCTCTTGGTTTAGGAACCTTATAAAGTTGCACAAGAGAGAGAGCGCAAGCGAGCACTATCCATGGTCCTCTCTCAAACAAAGCACCAAGAGAGAAAAGATGCTGAGGTTTAAATTTCATCTTGAATCTTTTAGTGATTGAATCTTATCTCTGGCCCTCTGACATTAATTTGAAGTTTGATTTTTCAAATGGATATATAATCATTAACTTGTTTGATCAATTTTATATTTTCTTAGGTTCTTGCTGAAGCCAAAAGAATAGCTGAGGCACGCATGGTTGCTAGGGTAAGTTTACAGTTAAATGTGCTAGTATGCTTTATTTTAATTTTATGGTGAGTTCATAACCATTTAGGAAACTGTAGTTGCTAGAGGCTCCTAGAGTGTGGGGAGTATGAAGCACGGTGCTTTTCCAAAGTATCATGCTCCATATTACACCATAACTATCCTTTTTATTTTGGTTTTGGATTTTCCTCTTTTCTTTTTGAATTTTGTGGTTAAATTTTTTCAATTTTCATCTAGTTCCAGCATAATTTGTATGAATGTTGTAAAATTAAAATTTGCTTCTGTAAGCAATAATAATTATCATTTGTTAACATTAATTAATATGGAAGGGTTGAGTTGTGGCTGGAATTTGTTAGCTAACTGTTTTAAGTATTTAAAGATTTTTAAAGCTTTTACAGATAGATACATTTTTATGTTATTTAGAATTAGATTCTAAGTGATATCAAGATATTTATTTTCACATGGGATATGTACACACTGTTTTCTGAATTTTGTTTCTTGAACTTAACAGGTTTTTCAGTATCCATTTAATAATCCTTGTTACTATTTACTTAAGTTCGTAAAAATATCTCTTAGTGGATTTCATCTTGTGGGAGGCTTATCGTGCCAATTTACTGGTGGTATAAAATGAGAATGAGCAATTTTGTGCATGCCTCTGAGTATTGTGCATATTGATATACTTCGTTTATCTGCCTTTCAGAGTGCTAAAGAGTTGGAGTTGCCTGTCACATTGAATGATGGCCTTGAAAATAATGAGAGGGCTCTCGTTCCTGGTGAGACTGTATCACCTTCATCCAACTCTCAATTCCCCTCTGGAACAGTTGCACCTTCAACTTTGATGGCAGATAATGCCTCTACTTTAGGTTCTCTCAAAATGGTATGTTCAACTGACTGACCAAATTTCATTCTATCTCCTTCCTGCTCTTGTGAAAGTTACTGCATGAATTTTTCTTTTTTCAGTCTTTTGCTTGTTAGCATTTTCTCTCGAAGGAAAGTTGTGAACTGCTTCTTGACTCACTCCAAAATATGACTACTCCTATGGTTATTTAGATAAATTTTTCATAGTCTTTGAAATATGCGAGCACAATATCCACTCTTGAGTGTATTGTCCGACTGATTTAGAAAATTTTCAGCTCCGGGTGTATCTTAGAACATATGCACTTGACCAAATGATCCAAGCCGCAAGCTCGTCTGCTGGACTTCGGACTATCAAGCGGGTTGAGCAAAGTTTGCAAGAACTTGGGGTCTGTATTAGTACTTGAACTTATGGCTTAGTGTATATGTTCATTTCATTGCCCCACTTGGTAGTATATTTTTATCTTGTGCTGGTTGTTTTTCAGAGTCATTATATGCTACCATGTATGTTCCCTGATGTTCAAAAAGTAGCTTTCAATTTTTCTTACCTTATCATGCTAGATGCTAAATCACTAGTAAATTCAGTTTCAGTGAAATGTGTGTCCCTATCACAAATCTTGGTCCTTATTAGAAATCTGGATGAATTTCTAGATAATTACTTTTGGTTGTAAAGTTTTTTAGAATTATCATTGAAGACATGCCTTGCAGTTTTTGGTGATTGAGCTCAGTGTATTAAATTTTATTTGAAGGTTAGATATCCTTGTTTGCTCATTTATGGTAATTTTTTTAGTGCATCTTAGTTAAGTTCAACTGGATCTTTTGGTTCTTGATAGGGTTTTTGGTGTTTGTGCTTAGATATCATTGTTTGCTCATTTTTAGTTTTTTTAAAAAGTGTTTCTTAACTAAGCTCAACTGGATCTTTTGGTTCTCGTTAATCATGGATATTGAGACATGTACTGATTTATATTCAGAGCATCAAATCATTTGAATGTCTTTATACTAAGAAAAGAGTTTAAAGTTTGGATTTATCTTTACAGGTTAATTTAAAGCCAAGAGTTCCAACTAAAGCTGTTTGTTCACATCATCTTGAATTAAGAAAAGAAATACTGACGCTACTGAATCTTCAGAAACAGGTATTGCTCAGCTATGATTTTTTTCTTTTTGAATTGCTGTTCGTATTCATTTGTAATTTAGAGTGTATCAATATCCCCTTCCACATATGGGTGTATCTCTAAATGTTGGGGTCTGTTTTCTAATTTCCATCATTAAGCTGCTTATATGGTCTCTTATGTACTGCCTTTTGCATAAAATTGAGCAACTGTGGCATTATTTGTCTGTTGCAACTTCATTTCTGTTTACTCGCAAACCATTGGCTGTTAAACTGCAGTTTGAAAATTAAAGAGTGCATCTTTCTTCAGTTATCTATTTATATGACATAAGTAAAACTTTTGGTTATCAGTTACAATATAAGGAGGCAGAAGGCTCATCTTATCGTGATAGTCCGTATGAAACCCCAGGCACACCCAAGGTCTGTTTTCTCCCTCGTGGTAGGCCTGTACTTCAAACAATGAGATTTTCTGACACTACTAACAAGTATTCATATTGTGGTGATCAGGATCGCACATTTGTTCCGGACTCGATGAGTTTCGGAGGTGATGTATTAGGTGATAATATAGGCAATTATATCTACTCCTGCATTGTGTGCCTATTAATTTGCTTTTTCTGCTCTTTTTTTTTTGTTCTTAGTCAATTTCGAGTACTTTTTAACTCATGTATATACATTGAATGTCAGGGGAAAGAGTTGTTAAACGAGACCAGAAACGAAAGGTACATTCCAATTCCTGTAAAAAAAATTTCCACCTTTCCTCTTACATATCAATTCATGTATATGCATTGAATGTGATATAGATTATTTACTATTGTGTCTCTCAAGGCCCCTGGCAGGGCAGAAGCTCCTTCATCACCTGCGCAGTCTAAAAGGCCTAGAAAGTTAAAGGCATCGGATCTGTAGCTCCAGAACAGAGTAAACAAATCAGCTCTGAGTTGACCCGGAATGCAGAATGCATATTTAAATTGGTGCAGCTTGTCCGACATGAAGCCATTATATTGAAGTTTCAAATGTAGGAGCAATCAAAATCGGAGAATATGTTGTATTTTCTATCTTTAATGTCATTGGTAGTTAGCAGTGATTGGCGATGCAGATCCACAGATTCCTCTATGATGGACTTAACCAGTAAGTAATTCCGTGGTTGCTCATCCTTTTTAACGGCACTGGATGATGTGCATGGCATAAGTGGAAGCCCCAATTTCTGTCTGCCTCGAGGAAACATCAGATTATGCACAATATATAGATAAAATCATAGGCGCTTATCACATTGGGCAGCTGATCATTGAAGGTTTTGCACTGTCTCACCCCTGGGATGTGGGGCGGTGGTTGAAGGATAGGATTAGGTTAAAACTATGTGAGATGCTAATTAAACAATGCTATATTTATGTAAATACATTATGTACTCAATTAGAATTCCAGTATTAGACTTGAATCCTTTGTATTGTTTCTTTCTCAATGCAAGAAGGGAACATGTCACACGCCCGCCCAAACTCATTTCAGACTTACGCTTTTGTTATTTTTTATATAAAAAAAAAATCTACTTTATGGCAATTGGTTAGATCAGTGAATTTGTTCCTTGTATTTAAGTTTGAGTTCTCTACATCGTAGTCTACATTATTGTTTGTATTATGCTTTTTCGAGTATTGGTGATTGGGGTATGTACTATTTAGATCATTGAGGGTAATTGTCCGTTTTGCCGCTGTGAAGTTTTACATTGAAACGAACAGTAGATTGACTAGATTCTCATTCTTATCTTTTTTGATAAGGATTCTCATTCTTATTTTGGCCAAACAAGTATGAGTTTACTGTTTTTGTCGGTGACGGTTTAACTATAAATCAGGGTGTCCCAATCCCCATATGAAATGATGGAAGGAAAGGACAAATGCCTACAAAATATCCACTGCCCCTTCTGGTCCAAAATTTAGTGAAGTACAAAATCCGAATATCTTAATCAGCTGAAACTAAAAAGGAAGAAGAAAAGAAAAAGAAAAAGAAATTATTGTTTGTGGTGGTTTCTGATTCCTAGATGCAAGCTCTCGTTGTCACGGGCACGGGCTCCTCCTGCTTTCTTCACAATTTCCCTAACAATAGCAATGCCAAGTGCAAACATGTTTTACCTGCTACTATCAGGCCTTCCTGCAATCTGAGAAATCAAAACACAACCAGAAGAAGCAGCCTTGGAACCACTTGGCCTTCCATCTCATTTGCACTTTTCGGGTCAGGTTTTTTCTTGGGTCCTTTGATCGATGGACTCCATTCAAGGGTAGAGCTTGTGGCATACCAAAACGGGTCTATCAATATTGGTCCTCTTCACACAAACATCTGGGTAAACTCAATAATTTCTCTCATTTTGGGAATTTTTTCTCTAAAAAATTAGTGAATATAGCTGTTGATTGATTCCATTTAATGTTGTTAGGTTCCTGTCTTGCTGGGTCTGTTCTACTGCACTGTTGGGTTGCTTCAACTCTTCTTGGATGAGAATGAGAGGGCCCCTTTAAACGGTCCAGAGGCCAACCAACAGAAAACGATTGCTTCTTTTCTGTGAGCATATATGTTTTGTGCTTCAAGCTCAATTTTTCTCACTTGTTACAATACAATTATGTGGTTTTTAAGTTGTGAGCATGTGCAACGTGTTGTTGCCTGTAATGTAACAGAGGACATTGTTGTTCTACGCAGAGCACTTGTGCTATTTATAGAGTTGAGCGCTGAACTCTACAAAGCCGGAACCGCAGATAATATTGAAGCTTACGTACTATTTGCAGCGGCAGAGTTCATATGGTATTCCGTGGACAGGACATGGTTCGGCTTCCTCCTCGCAAGCATCATCGGAATTGCCTGCCCGCTGGCTGAGATTCCATTAATGAAGTAATGGTTTTCTTCTTTCTTCCTTCCTCTTTCTCCTGATATCATTCAAATATTATATTATTGTTGATAAAACTGAACTCTTTGATGCTCACATTCAGGTTTTTCCACCTTTGGTATTATCCACAAGCAAATATTGAAATATTTGGGCAGGTGGGTAATTGAAAACCAACCCAACTGAAGGGTTTCTAATTTCTACTTGCAGTTGCAGAGGCCAAACCCAACCCTCATTTTTCTGATACATTGAGCTGTTGTTGTTTGCAGGGACTAGTTAGTTGGACACTCACTTGCTACTTTGTTTACACTCTGTTTTTGATCAATTTTTCACGTTGGCTTAAATCAGTGATCACTGCTGTCGCCGATTCAGAGGACAAGTCAGCTTAGTCATATTCAGTCGTTGGTCAAGACTTCCCCATATCTCAAGCCAATAAGATAAACAACTCAAGACAACCTTTAGCTTTTCATGTACTCATTCTTGGTTTCAGACATAGTATTCTGTACATATTTTCTTTTTCAATATTCCATTTTCTACTAACATGCACAAAATTCATTTTTGCTAAAGAAACAGAAACTTATTCAACAACATACACGAATTCGAAGTTGATTGAGCAAGCAACTATCCATTATGAATTAGAGGAGTCCTATACAATTATACATCAAAAGCTGAGCATAATGTGTTGAATCTTGATGAGCAACAACATGGAAATACAATGCAGAGAGAGAACATCTCCATTCAGAAAGCTACCCAGTGAACACAACATTGACAATATCTGGGAACTTCTCCTTAATGGCTGCTTTGATTCCTGATCCAATGGAGTCAGGCCCCACATAGTTTACATGGCAATCCCCACCTTCAACAGATAACACTTCCACACTTCCACCAAAGTTCTTTATGGCTGGTCTCAATATGTCAAGATGGCCATTCACTGCCTGCATTTCCAAATTTTGGCACACCATCAAAAGTCAAAACTTGGCACCATGCATGATGAATGCTGAATGAATTGTTTGAGCACTTTAGCTCCAATTCATAATCCATTTTACCATTTTCCGTTTACTGAACATCTATCGTCCATGAGATTTGAACTCATGAGCTTCTCCAAAAATGTGGAAACTGGGTGCCACTAGACTGAATGGTCATTGGCTCCATTTTATCGTTATTACGTGCATTCGTTTCCGAGTATCAAAATTAAGATTATGCAAATGCAATCCATCAAACACTCACCTCAACAGTGGTCTCTTTGTTTTCTTCATCATAGACTTGTTGAATATCCTTGAGCGCATCTCCAAACTTTTCTTTAAGCACTCTTTCAATTCCCATTTTCATGGTGGTGGTTGAGCTAGGGCAGCTCCCACAAGCCCCTGTTTATCATTTCAATTCTTCAAGAAAATGGAATTTCAATTGCCTAATTGCAAAACAAAACATTGATTCTAACTAATTGCCCACTGTTTCACAATCAAATTATAGGTTGACAATGAGTAAATCATTCAAATTCACAAAACCCAAAATTCCTGACAGAAAAAAGAAACCATATTTCAAATGAAAAAAAGAGACAGAAATAAGAGATTAGCCAAACCCACCTTGGAGCTTGAGTGAAACGACGCCGTCCTCAACGGACACAACGTCGACGTTACCGCCATCAGCGATGAGATAAGGGCGGACGTCCTCAAGAACCAAGTCGACGTTAGGAACGGTGAGCTCGTACTTCTTGGCGGAGTAGAGTCCAGGTGATGAAGACTCAGCGGCTGCGCTCGGGTTCGAAGCTCTAATGGTGGTTTTCACAAAGATCGATCCTTGAGAGGTTAACCGGTGCCGTTTTACAAATACAGATTGTGGGTATTGGTGGGACGTGGCTGGAATTTTCGAAAATAGCGTTGGGGTTTTGGGCAACCTGGTGGCTGTGAGAGACGCCATGATTGAATGAAGCAAGACCGTGCAAGTGTCTGTTTCTGGAAGATGGGGGGTGGGTTGAGTTTATGATTTCGAGAAGTTTAGGGGCGCTTGTGTGAGTTCTACGAAGAGAGTTTTTTTGCTCACCACTTTAACCGAATGTGTACCATCATCATTATTCTCAACACATATGTCCATGGGTATAACCATAGTTACACAAATACAAAGCAAATAGTTAATTATGATTATGCCAATGAAGCATATTAAATATTGAGAAGACTGGTGAGCAAATATATTTCAAGTCGACCTTAAACATAAGCCTTGTTACAATGGGTCATCAAAATTTGCGTAAATGTCTTAACTCAATTAAAATTCTATTACAATGTAATATTTATAGTCTAATTTCTTATATTGCAAAGTACTAAAAAGAATCTTCTTATATTGCAAATAGCATTTAACGTCTCAAAATATTGTTACATGTTGTAAAAGGATCACATACGGACGGAGTACATGCAACTTTTTAAATGAAAAAAATAGCAGAATTTCATCATATATTATTGGAACAAAATTTTATTTGAGCTAACACATTGCTTCATTCATTTTCTTCAAGTGACAACTTCGGCCTAAAGTCTAGACGGCATTAGTAGAATTCTCTATAATAAAAAATAGTAATAATCTTGCTTTTCGTCTTTTGTATAAGTTTCCCCACATGTTTAAGAAGTTTAATAAAAAAATCTACTAAATATTTAATTAAATAGTTACCAATTTTTAGTCATAATTAATTAATTAGCATTTTTTAATTAATTTTTAATTGATAATGTTTCAATTTTTTTTCAAAGGGCCAAGTTTTTTTCTGTTTTTTTAATAGAGTTAATTAATTAGTTTTTTTTTTTTTTTTTTTGTGTGTGTGTGTTACAAATGCTACTTGAGGGATTATTTTCTTTTTCTTTTTTAAGTTGCTTGTACGAGTGATTATAGAATACTACATTAGTACGGTCATGTGATATATCTTGTACACGTGTTATAATATAAGTGGATATTTATCAATACAATTTTTTAAAATGGGGAAAATAAATCATGGTGGCCATTCATATTATAATACGTATACAAGATATACCACGTTACCATACTGCCGTAATATTCTATAATTTCTTCATATTATAGCAACAAAAAAAACACCTTTTCAGGCGGATGTTTATTATTGATTTATTTTTGGTACAAATGAAAGCTAAATTGAAGGAAGCTTCCTACGCTGGCATTGAATGGGAATAAATATTCTAACCACAAAATTTCCTACTCCTAAATCGGATTACAAGAAAAGGATAACTTAAGAGAGTTCGATCACATGTGAGTGGATAACTTTCAATTGATTGACCTACGAATTCCATATATTTGTATCAGATTAGGATGTTGCTGTAACATTTGAAAGTAACTTTCTTGAACCTGATTTACAATTGAGAAAAGCTCATGAGAAGTCTGCCTATGCTCAGGTGTGTGACTTCATCCTCAAATCCATATGAAACTTGAGTCAAATTTCTAAAAGAGAAAAACTAGGAAATTTCACCAGCGCGTTAATACATGACGTTTGTCAATAATTACATATGAAACTCACCACATGATGTACATGCATATAACGGTTGAAACTTCAGTTAAATTTCAAAAAGTGAAAAACTTAGGAGAATCCCCCTATGTGTAAGAACATGACTTTTAATTATAAATATATACGAAACTCACAATACGACATGTATGCATCTAACGGTTAGAAATCGCTACGCGCAAGCGAGAAATGATGTGCTTAACATTTTCTTTCAAAAAAAAAGAGTGTCGAGAGAGTTAAAAACAGAACACCCTCTCTTAATATTTTTTTTTTGGACGAAACACCCTCTCTTAATCAGTCTCTGTCTAAAGGGAAAACTAAAAGCACTCTTCTTTTTTCTGTGTTAAAACAGAGCTACTGTTTGTTGGGAGAGGTCCCCGTTTTGCGCCCGACAGTACCTCGAGGGTTAGTCCCCGCAATCGCGCGGGGATACCTTGGTTTTCACAAAAAAAAAAAACAGAGCTACTGTAAATCTTGGTAACAGTGTCTCTCACAATTACAGGTTTGACCGCGTAGATTGGTATAGAAAGTAGTTATACTACCGAAAGTACCCAGTACCCATTTTAGGGTTTTTGCTATTCAACAACAATGGCAGGCTTGGAGGGCAACGAACACCAGCAGCAGCTCCAATTATTCAGCGTAGGCTCAGCCGTAGAAGTGAGGAGCGACGAGGAAGGGTTCAAAGGCGCCTGGTTCAGAGCCACCATCGTCACAAGTCCCACAAACTTAGCCTCAAAGAAGAGGAACAGGGCCTTGGTGGAGTACAAGAGCTTGGTCACCGAAGATGGCTCTCAGCAGCTCAAAGAGTACATTGATTTGGCTCTCTTGAGGCCTGTGCCGCCTCCATTGGGTGACCAAAACTTTGAGGAGGGTGATGTGGTCGATGCGGATTATAAAGATGGATGGTGGACTGGAGTTGTAAAAAAGGTTCTTGACAACAATTCCAAGTACACAGTGGTGTTTGAATTCCCTCCAGATTTGATTGAATTTGAGAGAGAGCGTCTCAGATTGCATCAAGATTGGGATGCTGGCAAATGGGTTCGGCCCAATAAGCGGGTATGCTATCTTGGTGGTGATCTGGGCTTTTTTTTTTCTTTCCCTCTTAAAGATTGTTTCTTTCATTTTTTCTTTGTGGGTTTTTTTTCTTTTCTTTTCTTTTCTTGCGGTTAATTAGTCTCTTAATCATGAGTATTCATGCATGTAAGGGATGCACATTACTGTGAAGTCCGAAATGGTAATTTTTTCTCTGCAAATAGTGCTAATGAATTACAGCTGTAGCTTTGATGGAAGTTATTAGTGCTAATGAATTAAATCTGTAGCTTTGATGGAAGTTATTCTTAGGTTTAATATATTGTTGAATCAGAAACTACATTTTGCTACTGAAATGTGATATGATATTGATGGGTTGTGTTGATTTGTGTACTGTGTGGACTTAGTGGGTGGTATATGTGGGTTTAATTGATTTTATGAATTATCTTGAAATCTGATCTTTTATGAAATTAAATGGCTCCGTTGGATGTTTTATTACCACATGTTCTTCCTAGCGTAATAACATGTTTAAACTTATAAATGTGAAAATTAATGGATCTATGCAAATGCGATTATCCGAATGGAAAGTAACTGCATTGCTCTAGCTTCTTGCTTATTCTATTCAGTTCATTTTTAGGTTTCATAGCTCGATTAACAAATAAATGCAATTACTTGGGGGTTGCATAGGCTTTGTGTATTTATGAATTTGTCCTTTGCAGCTAGAATTGAAAATATATGTTATGGTTAATTTTTTGGGATTCAACTGATCTGATATTTCAATGGAAAGCAAATGGAAGGGTCCATTTTCAGCTCAGGATCAGATGTAGGAGTTAGGTTTGACAAAGAAAATTTATTTGATGATTGGTTCCCTGCAATTGTTCTAAAAGAAATCGAGGATAAGACCTTTCTGGTGAAGTATGAGAATTCAGATGCTAGGGTTCAGAAAGATACTGTAGATTTCCATCCTATCCCCCCTCCCCTTTCTCATTATACAAATAGAAGTTATGAGTTGCTCAAGAAGGTAGATGCTTTCTAGATATTTCTTGGCGGGCCGGTGTTATTTCCAATGTTCTAGCTGAGAGGCTGTATACCATCATTTCAAGCACGGGATTTAGGGTAAGGAACTTAGTTTCTCAGTCATAAGACCCATTCTGGAATGGAAAGATGGTAAATGAGTTGATGGATCGAAGATATCTATTTTTCCGAGTTTAAGAGAGAGAGGAAGGGGAGAGGGGGGGAGAAGAGTGTCTTGGAATACAGTGAGGTTTCATATTTTTTGTAGCATTAGCTGCTTGCTTGAGTTGAAGTTTAGCTAGTGTCTCTTAGGGATTATATTTATTCATCAGTAACTAATCAGACTTCCTTCCAGGAGGTATTGGCCGTTTCAGATTCTCCACAGAATAAAGATCATGTCTTGCATGCTCAAAACGATTCCAACCATGTTGAAGTGGCTACTCAACTAGAAAATTTGGGTGCCGTAGAGGATAACCCTGAATCAAAAAATTCAGGGGAGAGTCTTTTGGAGCAGCCAAGTTATCCCCGGAGCATCAAGGGCAAAAAGATGTTAGCCCGTAATGTTACTGCTACAGACTCGGGTCCTTCAAAAAAGTTAAAGAACGACAAAGCTGCAGAGGCCACATTATCCATTACAGCACGTCATTTGAGGAAAATGCCTGACAATAAAGAAATGCTCCATGAATTAGCCACAGTGAGTAGAGGAGTTAGAGGAACAAGACGATCAAGAAAACCTGTTGTTAGCCATGAACATCTTAAAACAGAGAGCTTGCTTGAGGAAAATAATGTTGTGAGTTGAAATGTCTTTTCTTAACGTTTATTTTCTTGTGTTGATCATGTGACGCAATGTGTCATTGATGCCACGATGTTTGTTGTTTCCATGAAACCGGTCACACACACATAGCGGGTGCACACGTATTTCTTGTGCCTAAATGATTGGTTACAGTGGTTAGTAGCAGTGCTATGTCTTAAGTATGTAGTAGAAAAAATTGATCTGGAGTAAATGGTGTGTTGGCCTATTTCCCCTTCCTTGACAGGCAATGATAATCTAGTCACTACTTCCTTATTTTTGTTTTCTGTGACCTCATGTTTATGATCAACATATTCGTTATGTGTAGAAGACTAAGGAAGAGAGAGACGGTGAAGTGGATAGCCAATGGGTACATCCTGTAACAAGTAAAGGAAGACGTACAAAGTCTCCATTTGGAAGCCGATTGACCCAAGCAGGTAAATATGTGTACTGCATAGCCAAAAGACAGAAAAATAAAAAGGTATATATGTTCATCAGTAGACCCTGCACTGGTTAGGTTTCTTGTTTGAAAGAAATTTTGTTCTTTATGCTTTTCAGGGTATATCTGTGCACTGCCTAGCCAAAAGAGAGAAAAAGAAAAGGGTATATATGTTCGTCAATAGATCCTGCGCTGATTAGGTTTCTTATTTGAGAGACATTTGGTTCTTAATAATTTGCAGG